GTCTTGCTCTGTTGCCAGCTAGAGTGCAGTGTGTCCCATAGCTCATTGTAAATCCAACTCCTGGGCTAAAGTAATCACTTGCCTCAAAGGCTCCCAAGTAGCTGGGACCAGAAAAGCATGGCATGTAATGATGCCTCAGCTAATTTTTTTTTCTGTTTTTTTAAAAAAAAAGTATTTATCCTGGATTTCTTTAAATAATAAACATTCATATGTGTTTGTTATTTAATTTAAAATTTAAAAACTGAGGATAGTGCTTTGATCATCTCCTTAAATGTGTGGATGCCAATCATTCACTTATGATTAGGGATGGAAAACTTCCTGAACCATCTCAAGTGTCATGAACCACAGCCAAACTAAAATCAATTAAAATTTAAGCCAGGGAGGAGTGGGGGCAAGGGCAATATATGCAACCTTAACATTTGTATCCCCATAATATGCGGAAATAAAAAAAAATTAAGCAAAGTATCTCAAAGTATACCTTTAGTTATTGAGCAACACTATTTCATTTCCAATAACTTAAATGCAGCTTTTAAAGAAATTTAAAACGTGTTCATTTTGTTATATTTATTGAATAAAGTTAATAAATGGGTATCTCTTGAAAATGATTGCTGCAGAGACTTACAGAAAACTATAAAACTTCTGTTTCGTTTCTTTATTAACACAGATAATTACGACCTTTACTTAACATGCGTAAGTCAAACAGCTCAGTATTTCACCGAATTAAAAACAAAAATTATACTAGAAACATGAAACTCAAAGGAAGAAAGATAACATAACTAACCTTGGTCAAGCAGTTCTCCATGCTGTTATTTGAAGTCTGTGGGCTTGAGGTAGGGATCACTAAGTTTTCTTTTGGAATAAGTTTTCTGTTGAGAACTAAACTATTACTAAGATTTCCAACACAAGGTGACTCTAGGACTGGCTTCATAGCAAGAGTGGTGAATAAAGATCTGGTCTGCTGTTTCTCCACAAGCAGTTTGGTACTGACCTCTGCTACCCTCTCATTAGTTCTATAAAGATTACAAGAAACAAATGCTTAGTATTTCATGTTTCTCTAAATGATTCCTAAATGACTTGCATTTTTTAAAAAGTTCCCATAAGAGTAAACAAAATTTTCCACTAAGTCATTTTTTTTAAATACTGAAAATGTGTCAGAGCATACCTACTGTGTGTAATTATAGTTTAAAAATCGTTCTAAAGACAGAGCCTATATTCTAGGGATTTTCTGTTTTCTTTTTTTTTTTCTTTAGACTACCAGTCTCACTTTGTTGCAGGCTACAGTGAGTGCATGGCGTAACCCTAGCTCACAGCAACCTTAACTCCTGGCTCAAGCAATCCTGCCTGCTTCAGCCTCCAAGTAGCTGGGTACTACAGGCACCGCCACCATGCCCAGCTAATTTTTTGTATACTATACTTAGTTGGCCAATTAATTTGCTTTCTGATTTATAGTGAACCAAGATACGGGTCATCGCTCTGCTCAGCTGGTGAACTCCTGACGCTCAAGGCAATCCGCCGCCCTGGGCTCCCAGAGAGCTAGGATTACAGGCGTGAGCCACCGCGCCCGGCCTCTAGGGGGATTTCTAACAAAGTAACTCAAACAAAGTGGGAAGAGGAGAGAAATGACTATCAATGATGTATGAGTTAAGAGGTAACACCTGTTGCCTTCTGGAATGGCGCTACTTCTAAGATTCTTAAGGATGCCATTAGAAATACTTACGATTAACTATGTGCAATGATTAATATGTTAATTTGCTTGACTATAACAACCATTTCACTACGTATAAATATATCAGAACATCATGTTGTACTCCTTAAGTATATATAATAAAAGATTAAAATTTTAAAAAACCTACAAATGCTTTTATTTAGTAAACCAGCTCAGAGATTTTTTTTAAAAACTATCCCTCAAAGACATTTTCATCACCCTTATACACATCACCCATTATGTGGGAAAAATTAGGCATTGGTACTGAGGATGAATTCAGAGCAACAACTTCTATGGGGGAGAATGAAATAGCTGAGATGGTGTTAAAAAAAAGAGCTAAAAAGCAGCTCCAAAGGTAATTAGCTCCTAACACTGCTACTCAAGCATCAGAGGTGGAATCTGCCATTTCTATTTTCCACACATCCCCTCAGCCTGTCCAGGGTATTATGTTTAACAACTTTGTGAATTATACGTCCCTTCATCCCTACCTTAATCATTCCCTATTTTACAAGTGTGACTTTATGTTGAGTGGAAACACTATAAAGGATAGTTTGTCTCAAGGCGCCCTCTAGTGGCAATACCAAAGATCACAATCAAGGAAAGTTATTTACCAAGTGCCAGAACCTGCTGAGAGTACTAGTGGTACTTGACTCTTTCGGTCTAAGTTGTAATCTTCAAGAAATAGTTAAACTCATTAATATTTTCATTTAGGGGAATTCTAAACATTCTGTTTAAACCATAAAGCTTCGAAAATCCGCAGTTTAAATATTAATAGATCAGACTAACTGCATGAGACATTTAAGGAGGGGGAAAAGCCATATAAAATGAAAAAAAAAAAAAAATGGGGAGAGATGAAACTGTCCTATACTAACATTTTAAAGGTAAGTTCAGGCCTGGTGCGGTGGCTCATGCCTGTAATCCTAGCACTCTGGGAGCCCGAGGCAGGTGGATCCTTTGGAGCTGTCCAGGAGTTCGCAGGACCAGCCTGAGGCCAGGAGCAGAGCAAGACCCAGGCTACAAAAAATAGAAACGAAGTAATTGGAAGTGGACAGCTAAAAAATATTATAGAAAAAATTAGCCAGCGATCGGTGGCGTGCGTGCTGTGAAGCTCCCAGCTACTCGGGCAGGCTGAAGCAGCAAAGGTGCTGTGAGCCCAGGAGTTGAGCGTTGCAGTGCGTTGAGCTGCCTCAGCGCTGATGCCATGCGCAACTCTCAGCCCGGGCAACAAGAGTAAATACGTGCTTGTCCCAAAAACAAAAAATAAATAAAGATAATGTTTTCATTTGACTATAACATCATTTGCAAAATTATATGTATCTAGTTTAGGTTTCACATTGTTGCTCCCACCAGTCTGCATGAAATGTCGAGTCACTAAAAATGAGGCTAATTCAAGGCATCTCTTTTAGTGCATGAAGTAATGACTTATTTATTTTCCTCATGATTCTATGTTTTGACCTCTACTTGCTTCTCAAGATCTGTGAGGTTGCCTACTATGATTTTCGTACATTATTTTAATCTCAGTGTAATAGTAAATAGAGTTGCTTGTTCTCTTTTTTCCACTCCGAACCTTTGATTAAAGTCTTTCTGGCCGAAGTTCTTCATTTTGGGAGAGCTCAGATTCTAGGATCTTTGAATTCTGACAGTTCCATCTGAGGCTTCTTATTGAAGCCAATATCTGATTCTCCCTTAACTGCATCTAAGTTTTCCTGCAGGGATGCTGCTGTGGTGTCTTAAACAAATTAAAGAATACATTTTAACAGTTATAACGTTATAACCGGAATTTAATATATTTCGGTTCCTTTAGTTTTGAGACAGCTGATTCAGAGAACAATTTTAAATAGGTGAAAAAAGTTTAAAACATTTATCATCAATATCAAGTAAATTGATAATTTAAACTCAGAATTACAATCTGATGATTATAAAAAAATCTTCAATGCAATTCTTAATGTTGGCATTGCTTAGCTCACATACGTTTATGGTTTGGGTGAATCTTTTGATAAATTCAATAGACTAAAAAGAAATAACATATTTGAATTAATTTTAAAAAATATTTACAAACGCTGAAAAATAATGTAACTTAAGAACACTCAAGAGTACACTATAATTCTTCTAAAACCACAATTTTTCTTTTCCTAATAAGTTCTTGTTTTATGCCAACCTTGGTTCTTAATAACTCAAATGATTCTCTAATGATAATCACTATTCTGAGAAGATCAAATTTATTGTTAATACAATGTTGCGCAAACTGGAAAATGGTTAAAAGGGAGAACAGATGCCACCTTCTAAAATTCTACAAGCAGAGCCAACATACTCAACGATGCGCATATCCAAGGATTATTATAATAAATATTACAGTGAATACTGAGATGAAAATCTGCCCACTAATATTACATGATTAGAAACATAACACTCCCATGTAGCAAATATAAATTGAAAAACTTTCTTTTAATTTTACGTATCCCTAACTAAATCTATCCTGTCTTGCTTTACTTCAATCTCCGATTCCAATATACTGTGTCGCATTCGTGACCAAGTTCTTAACCAATATAGTTCTATCTCATCTCTGTTATAGACTTTGACTTAGGTTATCTGTTCTTCCTTGTTCCGAACTTTGTTTATTGCTTCTGTAGCTTTTCCATTTCTTCTGTATTGTTTTTCAGTAGATAAAAATTCCTGGTCGAAGAGTTTGATTCTTTGTATCCAGATGCAGACATTTTGAAGATGCAGTTTCCAGTTCTGCTGTAAGATCATCAATCTGCATGAATAAAATAATACAGTTTGGTAATGAAGGAAGTAGGCTGAGAACAGTCTAACACAAAAGCAATGACAAATTTAGAAATACGTTCAGTTTCAAGAAAATGTTATCTATACTCTAACGGATTCTTCAAATGTGGACCCTTAAATTACTCAGAAAATAAAAACAAGGTTAAAGCCACCAGGAGTTACAAAAATATATTCTTTACTTTCATCATTTTTGCCACCAACATTTGCACTTGATCTTAGACTTTTATTTTGCTATGATTATTTCACATCTTTCCTCCTTAAAATGTCTCTAAGTCACCTCTTAGTAAAATGTCTCTTACCCTTACTTCCATCATGACTGCCCATAACTTCTAAAGACGTTTTAGGGACATCATATTCAGTTATTTAGGCCTGAGTCAACACATGGCTCCCAGAATAAGACTCTGAAAAGATGACTCTAATTACAAATATGAACTATAAAGCAATAAGCCTTTTCCTGAATTGCAAATTTTTTATGCTAATTTGAATTGCATTCCAAGGAATGACAATTCTCAAGGTTATAGAGCAATCATGTGTCCCAGTATAGAAGTTTAGTGACATGATCCATATGTTTTCTCAAAAAACTAAAATGCCTTAATTCAATAGCACTATCTTGTAGTCCTTTGCTATTTTAAACAAAATAACGGAGCACACTAAACAACAACAAAAATGTGTTGGAAATCAATGGGATTCAGTTGGAAAGAACTACTTTCTTTTAGATGTAATGATTGTTCGATTATTTTAAAAGTGAGTGTGGTAGTGGTTTTAAAACATGTCTATGAATTGACATTTCTCCCATGAAATTCCCTCTCCTGAATATGAGCTGGCCTTAATAATTGGTTTCTACAGAATACAACATGGTAGAACTGCTGTGAGACTTCTAAAGCTAGGTTAGATCACATAAGAAAATGATACAGCTTCCACCTGACTTTCTCTCTCCAGGGAAGTTTGCCCTTAGAATCTAGCCACCATAGTGGTAGGATGGCCAAGCCACATGGTGAATCCTCATGCAGGTGTTCCAGCTGACTGCCCCAGCTAGAGTCCCAGCCAAAAGCCAGCTTCAACTGCAAACATGGGATTCCAGTCCCCAGTTTCTAGTCACCCCAGCTGATGCCAGCAGAGAAAAATGAGCTGGCCCCACTGAGACTTGCCTAAAACTGCAGATTGTAAACAAAAGAAATGCTGTGAGACACTGAACTTTATACAGCAATGGATAACTGGTACAAAGACTAACATTAATATCGGGTGCTACTATTAAAAAAAAATCTAAAACATGTAGGATGCCTTTGTTACAGGAAGTTGATGAAAGCTGAAGGGAACTAGAGAAGAATAAGAATGAAAATCAAGGGTGAGTGTAGTGGCTCACACTGTAATCTGAGCACTCTGGGAGGCCAAGGCAGGAGGAGCTCTTCAGCTCAGGATTCGAGACCAGCCTAAGCAAGAGTGAGACCTTGTCCCTACTAAAAGTAAAAAAATTAGCTGGGCATGGTGGCACATGCCTATAGTCCCAGCTACTTGGGAGGCTGAGGCAAGAGGATCACTTGAGCCCAGGGGTTTGAGATTGTAGTGAGCTATGATGGCACCACTGTACTCTAGCCCAGAGAAACAGCGCAACACTCTGTCTAAAAAAAAAAAAAAAAAAAAAAAAAAAAAAAAGAATGAAAATCAAAAGGGCTTCAAAGAGACTATTACTAGAAGCCTGATAGCCCTTGAAGATGCCAACAGGAGAGTCTCAAGGCCAGAAAATGATACTGAAACTTCATGAAAATGAAAATAATACTGGAGGAAAAGGCACTGTTGCTGCATAGCAGCTGAAAGCAAAGTCAAAGTGAAAGACAAGCTCAAGACTGGGCACAGTGGCTCACACCTGTAATCCTAGAACTCTGGGAGGCCAAGGCAGGTGGATCTCTCAAGGTCAGGAGTTCGAAACCAGCCTGAACAAGAGTTAGAAACTGTCTCTACTAAAAACAGAAAGAAATTAATTGGCCAACTAAAAATATATAGAAAAAAATTAGCCAGGCATGGTGGCGCATGCCTGTAGTCCCAGCAACTCAGAAGGCTGAGGCAGGAGGATCGCTTAAGGCCAGGAGTTTGAGGTTGCTGTGAGCTAGGCTGATGCCACAGCACTCTAACCTGGGAAACAGAGTGAGACTCTGTCTCAAAAAAAAAAAAAAAAAAAAAAGATAAGCTCAAGAAAGAGTATTAAATATAAAGGGGAAGCAAGGCTTCCTGGTTTGAAATATCTGTTTCCCATTTGTAGCTTCCTCATGTCAAACTGCCAAATGCAGGTGGTCCCTGATAACAACTTTTCAACTTTACAATGCCACAAATGCTGAGTGCACTCCTTGACTTACAAAGGGGTTAAGTCTGGACAAGCTCATTATAAACTGAAAACACTGTAGGTTGAAAACATACTTCCAACTTCCAACATTTTCACCTATGATGGTTTATCAGGACATAACTTCACTGTAGGTCGAGGAGTATTACTAAAATCAATGGCCTCTGGGAGAAAATCAAATGGCTGCCAGGAAAACATGCTCTAAAGAGGAAGCCAAGTCCATGACTGTAAACTCCTTTGTTAAGACCTCAGAAAGATTTACCATGATGCCTCAAATTCCCTTAAGGATTTTAAGGATTTAATTTAAGGATTTTAAGAATCTTTTTATAAAATTTAATTTAATGTTTCTTTGATAGAGACAGGGTCTTGCTATGTTGCCCAAGCCGACTATTCCTTGTTGTTAGTATACTCTGTTTATTGTTTATAATTTATATGTAAATTGATGTGCTGGAGTATCTCATACTTTTTAATAGCTACATGAGATTTCAGTATTCCATTGTGTAAACGTATAATTTTTATTTTTTTATTTTTACATTTTTTTTAGAGACAGAGTCTCGCTCAGTCACCCAGGCTAGAGCGCAGTGGCCTGATCATAGCTCACTGTGGCCTTCAACTCCTAGGCTCAAACAATGTTTTTGCCTCAACATCCCAAGTAGCTGGGACTATAGCCATGTGCCACCATGCCCTGCTAAATTTTCTTATTTTTTGTAGAGGTGGTGTCTCATTATGTTTCCCAGGCTGGTCTCAAACTCCTGGCCTCAAGCAAGCCTCCTGCCTCAGCTTCCGAAAGTGCTGGGATTACAGGTGTGAGCCACTGCGCCTGGCCCTGGTACAAGAGTCTTACAGTCACTGTCCTAGTACAGCTTCACAGAAAGCCCAAAGTGAAGAGCATATCTCAAAAAGACTTCTGAAAGAAGCTTTTCTAATGACATAAACCCTAGTAAAATTCACAGGAGACTCAAAGTTTTTAAGAGAATTGCAGTAGCAATAACACTGCTTGCTAGCTTAGACTAAAATAGTAAAAATGAAAAGAGGCCTTTGGACCTCAAGTTCCACAACTTAGCTGCAAACTCAGGTGATTGCTTATGAACAGACAGAACAAAGAGCCCAGAGGATATGGTGAAGAGCTGCAGAGAGTGATTCCCATGTTTAGGACTAAGTCATAATCAAAGAAGTAGAAGCCAGCATCAGGCTGTACTTCAGAACTAATAAGAGTTAGTGCCTCCTGTGGGCCTCCCATTTTCCCTCTATTCAATGTGAGAGTCTTCAGCAGTTCAGGAGAACGTTGGGTATGTGGGTGGTAGGCAACTGGGTCCTCTAGTTCTTAAGTCTTCATATTAAAAGGAATTGCATTCAAGGGCTTATACTCTAGAAACCACAACCCAGGTAAATCATTTCCATCTAGACCTGATAAAAGTGGTAAGATCCTGCACTTCAAGCCCAAGTCTGATGCCATAATAACTAGGGGTACTAATAATAATAACTAGGGGTATATAATAATTGGGGTACTAGGTAGGAATGAGTATATATTTGAAGTGGGAGGAATATTTTAAAAAGGGTAGCCTAACTTTAGGTTGTGCTGGTTAAAATATATATATCTATACATTCTTTATAATTCATCGCATAGATTGAAATGCCATCAAGATGGTTGATTGGTGGCACTGATCACTCACCTCCTCCACAAAGAAGGACCAACGCTGTGAGTAGATAACTACACACTGGCCAGGCGCTGGGGATCATGCCTGTAATCCTAACACTCTGGAGGCCAAGGCGGGAGGATCACTCAAGGTCAGGAGTTCCAGAATAGCCTGAGCAAGAGTAAGAAACTGTCTCTACTAAAATTGAAAGAAATTAATTGGCCAACTAAAAATATATAGAAGAAATTAGCAGGGCATGTTGGCACATGCCTGTAGTCCCAGCTACCTAGGGGACTGAGGCAGTAGTATTGCTTCAGACCAGGAGTTTGAGGTTCCTGTGAGCTAGGCTGATGCCATGGCACTCTAGCCCAAGCAACAGAGACTCTGTCTCAAAAAAACAAAAATTTAAAAAAAATTTAAAAAGGTTTCTGGAAAATTACTAGGATCCACAAACTTTTCCTCCATTCATTAAATAGCAATAGAGTACCTGTATTTTTTTCCCCAGCACAGTGCTAGGAAATGAGGATAAATAAAAAATGTTCTGTCCTTACCTCAATTTTATAAGATTCAGGATACCACTTCTTATTTCATACACCAAGTCATTTTTTACGATTAAAAACCAACCTGCTTGCAATCTGCCAGGCACAGTTCTATGAGCTTCTACACATTCGAGCTCACTTAATATTCACAATAACTATATTATTTCCACTTTAGAGGTGAACACACGGAAGTTAAGAAATTGCGTGAAGTCAAAGAACTAGCAAGCAGCAGAGGAGGGATTCAAATCCAGATCTTTCAAACCTGAAAGCCTGTGTGAACCAGCACACCTACATGCTCCCTGGGATCTGCTCAGCGGTTTACAAAGGGTGACCCCCTGACCAACTGGCAACACCACAACCTACCATGTTTCCCCGAAAATAAGACAGGGTTTTATATTTATTTTTCCTCAAGAAGACACTCTAGGGCTTATTTTCAGGGGATGTTTTGGGTTTTTTTTAA